TGATCAGTGTTCATGTTGTAAAGTGAATTTTTACTAGCTTTTTATCCTTTATTCCCTTGCAAACAATATCAAAACAAACTTGTGAGTGAGGAAATTCTTCACAAGGAAGCACTTTGCATAAGTTCTTCTTATCAAAACGTCCTTCTGCCACATGCGAGTCTTCAGGATTGGGTGGGATTAGACTGCATCTGACTGTTGGTCCTCTTTCTGAGGGATCTGTTAGCAGCTGAGAACTGCTTTGCATAAACTGAAAGCAGCAAAGTACTTAAATGTTGGGAGCTGTCAGAGTTTCTCCTCCTGAGAGTATGAATACGCCTTCAACATGAGAACATCCAAAAGAATGAACCGTGTGTCTAATTCTAAAGGAAACTGACTGAATGTGTTTTGTATGTGTCAAAAATAAGATCAAAAATTACTTTTCTAAAATAAAGTAATATGTATATATATCTTATATATAATAACACTGGAAGAAATAGATTGCATTTAAATAAAGGCAGGACAGGTTGTTTAGTCTACATATGTCTGAAGCATAAAATTAAATTATTTTACATAAAATTAATTAATGTACAGTATGTGATGTAAATGGACAAACTTATAAGAATAAGAATAAAGGGTAGTACAATACAGCTCATTACGTAAAGGGGTACATAGATGGTAAGTAGGCCTATAGAGCTCCGGGAGTTGACGTCACTTCTCCCGGCATGCAACAGTTCAAATCGAAACGGCGCCATATTGGCATGCAGAAGCCGGCAGCTGGACTATTTGTTATTGTCAGATAACTCAATCAAACGGGAAATATGGTAGATTCCTGTTGTGCCCCAGGATGCAGAACAGACGCGGACGACATAAGGAATGAGCCATCTACAGGATTCCCCAAGATCCGGAGCGCCGCAAACGTTGGATCATTATAATAAAACGCGCTAGTGACCGGGCGAAAATGAAGCTGTGGGATCCCGAGAGTAAAGGTTTTCGCTTATGCAGCGACCACTTCATATCAGGTACTTAATCCAACGTTTCCTCAACTGTGTATGGTATTTATTTTAAATGCTTTTATTATGATTCTTAGTGGGCTTCCTAAACTTATTTTGGCGTGGCTTTTTTTGTCTTATTACTCACAGCAACAAGTAAACATCACGTAAAACGTTGCCTCGTGAGTTCTGCGTGCTGCCGTTTACGTGTTTTATGATCACAGCAATTAACCGGCTAAGCTGTATTTAATTTTTAAGCAATGGTTGATCAATTGTCAGATCACACATAAAAAGCACTTTGGATCGCTATTATCTGTCTCACCGAGACTACTTACGTGTAAATCTGTTATTTGTCCGTCCATCCATCCATTTTCATCCGCGTATCCGGAGTCGGGTTGCGGGGGCAGTAGCGTGACTTCCCTCTCCCCAGCCGCCGGAGCCAGCTCCTCCGGGTAAATCCCAAGGGGTTCCCCGGTCAGGTCCGGTGTTGTGCCGGTAAGAAGTCCGCTCCGACAGCTTCTGGCGTTTTTAAAAAGTATCCCAGGGGCACGGTAAGGGTCGGAGATGTTTAGTCTATTTAATTTCTGACTATATAAAACGATTTCTTCTGTTTTAAAGTGTGAAGTAAACTCAGACGAAGTAAAATCCAAGCGGATCCCGTTCATGTTCATGGTTACATCCGTGTTTGTTTACCTTTTTTGCATGCCAAAATGGCGTCCACTAACTGAGAGTCACGTGGGGTCCGGAGCTCTATAGTGTACAGTGTAAGCAAAGGGTATTTACAGGATATGTAATGGGCTGCACAGGGTACTAACAGGAGTACATACACAGTAAATACCAGGTCTCTTTTACTGAGAAACAATGTTCTTGTTCTTTCTGTAGCACAATCTGAGTTACGCATGCATGTTGAACATGAACAAAGTCTTCAACCCCTGTTTCCTGCATTAGCCACATAAAGGAAATAGATAAAGAAACGTCCAAAAAAGCCACTTTATTTGACACTACAGAGAAAATTAGTATTCATGTACTCACTCACCTTGGATTGCAACCAAAGGAAGAAGAGAGTAGAGTGCATCTCAGCTGGTAGAAGCTAACCGTTAGCATTAGCAACTCCACAACAAGGCAAAACACTCGCAAACTTGTGTAATTTGTGGAAATAATGTGACCTTTTTTACCCAAGAAATACATATTTAATACAATTTTATAGTATTCTTGGTTTTGTTAACATTGCTGTAAGCCAATTAGAGGCTAGATGTTGGCATATCATGAATATTAATGAGAAAGACTTGTAATCAACACCAGAGCATTTTTTTACAAAAAACGACTAAAAAGGGATTCAGTCATAATAGAGCTTAAACAAATTTCTTGAAAAAAAAAAGTGAACGAGACTTTTTAATTTGTAAATACTCTTGTAAGTACCAGCTAAATGGGAGATGGTATACATAGTGCCTTCTAGAGTCCTTGAACCCCTCAAGGCACTTTACAATACATCAGTCTTTTACTCTTCCACACACACATTCACATGCTGGTGGTGATGATGAGCCACAATGTAGCCACAGCTGCCCTGGGGCTAACTGACTGAGGTGGGTCTGCCGTACACACTAGTCACCAGTTCCACCTGAACACCACCAGCAGGCAAGGAGGGTGAAAAAACAACTGCGTCAGACTGAGTGGTATCAAGTCTCTTGAAAACAACCAGGTCTCCAGTAACTAACCCATATGTACCCCAAGTTGTGTATTCCTAAGCTGTGTCAGACCCAAGTTAAAGCTTCTATAGTAAATATGGAAAACAAGTTGGCCTAAAACTGTTAGCCTCTTAACAACATTCTAACATAGTAAAGCTAAACTGGAGATTTAAAAAAAGAAATAAATTCATTCAATGATTCTCTGGCATTTGTGTTAAAGCCACCGCCAACACCAGCAGCTATTTAACCAAACACTTCCCTGGGTACTCCGTTCATCACACACTCACGTATTTAGCAGCAGAACACCACTGGTGTGAGAGGTTCTCCACTAAAATCAGAGAAGGAGAAACAGCCGGCTGCTACCACTTCTACTTTAGGACAAACTACTAGAGTCCCAAAGAGAAAAACACCATTTGAAGTCACGACCAACAAAAGAAGTTTGGACCTAGAAAACCAAGCCCCCACAATGCGGCTCTAAAATTGGTCTCAACCAGGAAGTACCAAAAATTGCAGTTCCACCCTCATCCGCTGGGGGCTGGTGTCAGAAGCGAGCAAATCCTCATTGACTCCCATGTTAAAAATACCAATTTCACAGCAGAAATAAACATGTTTACAGCCTGGTACCAAAACATGTTTTTGTTTAAATGATCTAGTTTACACTCATGACAACTCTGAGGGGGTGAATTTTTTTCTCACTCTTCTGTTTAAGTGTATTAAAAGCCTAAAATTCTGTATAATTAATGAGCATCAGACCCACGTGACCACAGAGCTAGCTCCGTGGAAAGGCCTCAGTAGAGCCTCGGTCTCGACTGGAAACTGCTCCAGGATTTTGAGTCTCTGTGTTTGTGTATTCTTTTTTGGATATTATTTGTGCAATTGTTGGACAAAATGACTTGCTGTGACATTAATTGCACTAATAGAGCGTCCAAGGAGTCTCCACTTCATTTTTTTCTGTAAGTAAAATTATATTTATGTATTTTAGGTCACTGCCGAGCTGAGCTTAGATTTTAACATGTACTGTTTAACCATGAAATTTAAATGTAATAGGGTAAAACCCAGTGCATTTAACATAATGCTGCACTTTAGAAAATGGGTTGAAATATAACATGTTGGTGGAGCTGGGTTCCGACTATCGGCTTGTGGAGATCTCGGGAGACCGATGTTATCCACCCGTTTCTCCCCTCCCCGCAGCTCGGCGCATCTCTGTCTGTTCGCGGCTCCTGTCTGCTGCGCGGGCTGACAGCTTGTGGAGCTCTGGGATGGAAACCTTTCCACCCGGTTCTCCCCAGCGGCAGCTCTGCGCATCTCAGATCGCAGCGGCGCTTGTCTGCTGTGCGGCTGCCGGCTTGTGGAGGTCTCGGAGACCTCTGTGTTCCACCCGGTTTTACCCAGCGGTCAGCCCGGCGTATTTCTGACTCAGAAGCTCTGGTGTTGTGCACAGTTAACTCCGGTTGTAGCTAGGTTGCTATCTCCGTTAGCTTAGCTCCCACCTCCGCATTAGCTTTGAGTTAGCTTCTGGTTAGCTTGTAGCTAGTTTGACCGAGTGTCGTCAGTTGATCCCAGCCTTACAGCCCCACCCTCAGCTCCTCCTCTCTTCCCTTTTATGGAATTGTCTGGGCTTGACGGAGCCTGTGACACGGTCAAAATGGCGGTGGTGGCCACCTCCCATTTTAGCACAAAAACTTATGATTGGAGCCTATGGAAACCTGGTGTTTAGCGCTATCTTGTGTCCTCCATGCTGCGGTTCCAGCAGAAGTGTCTCCGTGAAGATACCAGAGGGCAGGGTGTGTGCTCCATGAATCTGATCCCCAGTTTGATGGATATCTAAAGCTTCAGGAATGTGATGAAAACATCTCATGACAACAAGTGGCCTATTGAACCTCTGGAGGGCAATTCTAGTTTTCATACACTGACGCTCTACAGGTTTAATTTTATACTTTTCTGTTTAGATTACAAACTCTCCTCAGAAGAGAGGTTAAAGGCCTTTAAAGGACCTAGGAAGTCCTTTTGGATGAATCCACCAAGATTATTGTCAACCCCAAGCATTTTTGACATGAAATGGATGCCAAACAACAATAGACCCAGAAAACTGTAACTATTTCAGAAATAATGACAATTACGACCTTCTTTTTGTCACCCAAAGGTGTTTTCAGGCAACATACAATCTATAATCAAGGCCTTACAATAAAAACCTTAATTCTTAATTCTTTAATAGTGAATTAAACTATGAAAGTTGGTTTAAAACAAGACAAAATACAAAAATCAAAGTCCTAGTATTTGTGTTGTTTTGTCAGAAACCTGAGACTTTGTCGATTTAAACCCACAACTCTAACGGATCAGTTCCTACCTTTGTGTCTTTCATGGGCTGACACTCGATCTGATGTGAGACGGAGGCAGTTTGGTTCATCTTGGCTCTCCAGAACCTCCTCCAGTCTGAAACTGAGATGATCAAACGGTCAAATCCTGAAGGAGCAGCAGGGTGTTGAAGTTTCCTCACTTCCTCCTGATGCTCCTGATGCTCTGAGCACAAATCGGACGGAAGCTTCAGCAGATGCTACACATTTAAATCTACAGTCTGTTTTCCTCGTGTTGTTTCTCTCTCTGCCTCTGAATGAGATCAGTGCATTTACATCCTCTCTCCCTCTCCCTCCCTCTTTCTCTCTCTCTTTCCTTCTATATTTGCTATTCACATGCAGCTGATGGGCAGCTCATAACCCAGGATGTTTGCCAGAACCTCCCACATACCAAGATATTTTCTTCATCAGAATGCAAATTTTCTGCAGGCAAATGATTTTTGCACGCAGAAAATTTGAGTTTTCTCAGATTCAAACTGTTTCTTTCATGTCTGAATTCAAACTGCTGACCTTCCACCAATCATGTTTGTGCCCACATTTCAGCTGAAACTCATGATTCTTTTTGGAAATTTCAAAATGTGTGCATATTTAGAAAAATATTCACCAACCTGCACTGAAAAATATTGAATTGTTTCTTCTGAAAAGGAACAAGCAATACCATCAAGTGTAAAGTGTCAACTGAAATGGTTTTCCAGTCTTGAAGGACTTCCTCTTGAAGCTCATCAAGAGAATGCCAAGAGTGTGCAAAGCAGTAATCAGAGCAAAGGGTGGCTATTTTGAAGAAAATAGATTATAAAACATCTTTTCAGTTATTTATTGGTGAAGTACATAACTCCACATGTGTTCATTCATAGTTTTGATGCCTTCAGTGAGAATCTGCCAATGTAAATGGTCATGAACATAAAGACAACACATTGAATCAGAAGGTGTGTCCAAACATTTGGCCTGTGCTGTAAAAGTGAGCCACTCTGGAGCTGAGCTTCAGACGGCAGGATTTGGAGTCTTATTTCCTGACATTTGGACATCTTGCCAAATATCAAAAATAACAGCAAAACCACTGACTCTGTTCTGCAACGTTGATGTTTTATCTCCACAAATGACACAAAGCTGGAGGAGCTGCTGCTGCGTGGTGGAGTTGTTAATGCTAACAATTAGCTTTTACTAGCAGAGACGTTCTCTTCGGTTTCCTGGACACTAAAGCAACAACAGCCGTCCCCGTCGTGAGTCAAGATGGCTGAGTCCATGAAAGTGTGAAGTGGATTTGTCAGGATTTTCTAATCCTGGAGTTTCAGCTTTTATGCAGGAGACAGGTGTAGGAGACTATTTTCATGTTCAGCCGGCATGAAGAACTCAGAGTGACTGATTATAATCAGAAATAATCATTTTAAATGTTTGTTCTGTGATTCGCACCTTTAAGTGACGCCAATGTGCCATCAAGACTTCTTCATGCTGTCATGTTCTGTGTCCCTGTGGTCCCCAGCCCCCTCCTGGTTCCCCTCATGTGTCCTCTAATGTTCTGACTCTCTTCCTAGATAAAGGATTTTACTTTGATTTTGCTCCTGCCTTGTGTCGTTCTGGGTTTCTGCATCTTTAGTCCTAACTTCCTCCTGGCTCAACGTGACATAAGCAACTGAACTGAATTGGATTGGATTAAAAAGAACTGAAATAAAAGAACCTGACACATGAATAGTTTGTATATAATGGCCCAACATAAACTAAACACATATTTATTTGGTATTCATACAAATGACTAAACAATAAAGAACTGCACTAATCCTGTGTTACATCTGAATTATGAGTTGTTATATCACAGCTTCCATCCCACATATGCAACAATAACTGCATCAGTTTTCATTTAAAATGAAATGTGTCACATTTTAGTGCTTACACATTCAGAAATCCCAGAATCCTCAGCGTGTGAGGAAATCCCGCTCCGCTGCAGGAGTGAGAAACTGTTTCTAAAAGACTGAACAGGTGGGAAACCTACGCAGAAGTTGTGTTTAATCTGACAGCTTCAATACTTTATAAAGAAAAATAAATCCTGCAGTATTTTTCCCTTCAGAGAGTAATGAAAGGAAAAGTTTCTCCTTTTCTCATTTAAACATCATTTCATAGAGTGTTGCTCCTCAGGTTTTTAATTAGAGCAGCTGAGCAGGAGAGAGAATAACAAACAGATTTTAAACACCGAGTCGATTCCTAACGTGATTGTTTACACGCAATCTCTCACACACACACACTCACCCACACTCAAATACACACACAAGCATGTGCATGCAAACCCATCCATACACACATGGGCTTAAACACACACCCACACGCAAACACACACTCAAACATGAACACACACACATATGCAAGGTAATCCACCCATACACACATGGAGGAAACACACACCCACATGCACACACACACACATACACCTGCATGAAAACACACATGCATGCAAATACACCCACACACGTGCACACATACACACCCACAACTAAACACACGCATACAAATCCACCCACCCAAACACACAAGAAAACACACGTTGTTGCTGTTTTGTTTATTTGTTTTTATTTTGAGCCATATAGTCTCTCTTGTTTTGAGGAATTGATATGTATGTATATATATATATATATATATATATATATATATATATATATACATATATGTATAAATATAAATACATATACATATATATATATATACATATACGTATATATACATATATATATATACATATAAACGTATATATGTATATATAAAAATGTATATAAACATATATATGTACATATATATATATCTATATATACATATATATGTATATATACACATATATACGTATATATATACGTATATATACTTATGTGTATATATATATATATATACATACATATACATATATATGTATTTATATTTATACATATATGTATATATATATACGTATATGTATATATATATATATATATATATATATATATATATACATATATATGTGTATGTACTTTTTTCTTTTCTTTTTCTGTTCACTGTATTTTTTTAATCATCATTGTCTTAAGTTCAAATAAAAACATCCATAAATACGGCGTTTTGTGCTATTTTTTGTTCATTAGTTGTCCGGTTTTCACAACTATCTTGTATTTTTGCCTCTGTTTTTCTTTCTCTTTTGCATCTTTCTCTTTAAACGACATTTTAACCTTCAGCAGATTTCTAGTTCCTGAAGTTCCATCTGTCACAGATCCTCTTTCTCCTCTCTGCTCTCACATCAATATAAATATGACTTCAATCATTATTAAAAGCACAAGATTTGAGCTCCTATTCAATCAAGGCAAAGCCATGAAAAAATAAAAAAATAAAATGTTTCCAACATCCACGCTGAACTCCCCAGTCGGGTATCTTTACAGCTTGCAGAAACGTGGTCCTAAGAAACTAACAGTCCAGAGAAAAGACGCCGGTGGATCGAAGACTGTAACCTTTGAAGGATTCTATGAAGCCATAAACAGTTAAGTGGAGTAATAAAAGCATTTAGAGCTGGAACTCTAATTCTCTCCTGGGTTTAATGGTACCTCAGGTTCCTCTGCCTGGTTTCAGATGGGCTGTTTAAATGCTCCAATAGAACTCCATTAAAGAAGGCACCAGCTCATATAACTGAGCCCACGTTCAGACTCAAACCCATTCCAGCTCGGTGCATTCAAGTTTAATTAGGATTGATTTTACAGCTGTGTCGGGTTTATGGTGAAATGCAGATTATGTTGCATGTTTCTGTCAACTTTTTGAAAGCAAGCAGTGCTATTGCAGCCCTTTCTCGTGTTTTGTTTGTTTTGTTAATACTGTCTTGAACAGCAGCCTGATCCAGACACAAATATCATCAAAACATAAACAATTCAAATGTTTAACCGTACTTTCAGGTAGAAAAGATTGGTATACACATGTGAAATCAATATTTAGTCTTTGTCTTGTAAAAGGACCATTATTGTGCTTTTTTCTTAAAGAGACAATGTGTAGTTTTTCTCATTAATCGCTGGAAATATCTATTGAAATGTTGTTCAAAATGAATTAAATGATGCCCAGTTGTTGAAAATTATTGGCGGCTTTGTAACATATAACCATAAAAATTGGGCCTAAAATACACGGGAGTGGGTTTACGTCTCTGGGCGACGCCATATTAGACGCCATGTTTCCTTCTACGGGAGCCTGTGAAGACAAAACACGTTTACCGATTTTAACAAATGGTTACAAATCTTTTACTTTTAATAAACGTTGTTTTACACATTTACCTCTTCACTCGTTGCCAGTGATGAAAGACGGTCTGATGTGCTTGTCATCATGTGCACCCTTCAAGAATCCAGTTTGCAACCAGATGGCATGGGGGTGTCTCTGAAGCCCATCCTCGCCTTTGAGCCTAAGGTGGTAGGCTCCTATTCTCCTCGCAGCTTTGTACCCACCACCTTTTTGGTCGTCCGAGGGAGAACGGTTGCACAAGCTGTGCTTGGTTCGTGCCCTCGGGGAGTATGTTAATCGAATTGAGAGCTTTCGCAGAAGCGACCAGCTCTTTGTGTCATGGGCAGGACCTTTTAAGGGAAAACCCATCTCAAAACAGTGGCTTTCTGGATTTTAGAGGCTAATTCTCTGGCTTTCTCCTCCCAGGGCATTCAGGCGCCTATAGACCGCATTAGCTTAAGCACTGGAGTGGACAGGCAGCGAGAAAAGGGACATACAACAGGGAAAGAGAGAGAGGGGGGAACGGAAGGTGCGTGCATCTATAAATATGTTTTTGTGTGTGGTTCCCTTTGTGTCTTAGCTGTGTTTGTGTGACTCTCTGTGTGTTTGTGGATGTGTTTGTCATTTAGAGTGTTGTTTTGTTGAGTTTTATGTATGTGGTGAGGAGGGGCTGGCCCGTACCAGCCCAGGTCCCTCTAGTGCCAGAGTCCGGGGCCACACACTTCCAAGCAGCTGATAGCCACCAAGAGCGGAAACTTTGGTATAAGTTCCATCGTAACTCTGGTTCTCTGACTTACACGAGTGAGATGCCTCACCATACAACCTGCTGAAGTGAGAAGAGGTGTTTATCTTGAATGCTGCATGTGTTGGACGCTGGTTACTTGTGGTAGCATGTGACGTGAGCATCACAGTCACCGGCCAATCACGATTGGCACATTGAGAAAAGGGCTTCTGAGGAATCCCTCGCAGGTGCGTATCTCATCATGAGAAATCTCGCTCACGATATGAACCACAGTTACGACCGTAACCCAACGTTTTTCCTGGGATCTGCTTAGGCCGCTCCTCCAGTCTGGGGGTTACTGCGCCGA